TATTGTCATACTACAACTAGTGACACGTACCCACGTGACTCACTACATGACCAAAAGAACGAGATCACGGATACAGGTGGCCGAAATGAGTTTTCTCCGCAGAGTGTCTGGGCTCTCCCTTAGAGATAGAGTGAGAAGCTTGGTTATTTGGGAGGGACTCAGAGTAGAACCACTGCTTCTCCACATTGAGAGGAGCCAGTTGAGGCGGCTCGGGCATCTGGTTAGGATGCCTCCTGGACGCCTCCCTGGTGAGGTGTTCCGGGCACGTCCCACGGGGAGGAGACCCAGAGTAAGACCCAGGAGACGCTGGAGGAACTATGTTTCTCTGCTGGCCTGGGAATGCCTTGGAATTCCCCTGGAGGAGTTGGCCCAAGCGGCTGGGGAGAGGGAAGTCTGGGCCTCCCTACTTAGGCTGCTACACCACGACCCGACCCCGTATAAGAAGAAGAGAATGGATGGATGGATGGGTTCTCTTAAAATCTGTCCAGTAGTTCTTGAGATATCTTCTATCAGACAGAGTTGACTTCTCTTGGTAATGCCAAAGTTTAAAATAAGTTGTGCAAACAGTGCTCAGATGATGTGCTGGGGATGACTCTCAGATTCTATCACATCAAACTTTAGCTCAGTATCTGTCAAAGGGTCATTAAGCTGTGGTGGCCATCTTAAATCAGATTGACATCAAAAGGCAATCAGTAATGAATGTTTTTCCAATGAAAACTTTCTAATATATCTGATATTGATTCTTGGTTCATCAGCTGTGTTGAGCCATTGATTGTTATAATTAAATAAAGCCTCAAACAAAATAACAACCAAAAAAAAATCACTTTAACATGAGAATGTATAAAATACAGTAAAATATCCTGTTTTTTCAAAGCCATGATGAAGTAGGTGATCGCAGTGAAGGTGTTGCAGATGAAGGTAATGATGATGATGAGAGGACAAAGATGATCCCAATGTCAACAAAGACAACTCTGAGGATGCTGAACATCTACAGAAGATCTTAACTGTAAAGAAACAAACAAGACAGTGAATATGAACATTAAAAAAATATCCACTGAAACATGCAAATATTAGATTTCACCTCTAACCTTCCAACCAGCAGAAACTCTCCCACCAGGCGCTGTCGTCTCATGGCCTTCAGGATGCCTCGGACAGTCATGCCCTCACAGAAACAGGCCACCACTCTGGCTTTGGGCAGGTGGCCTCTGAGTTTCTGTAACAGTTTGTCAAAACTCTGCTCCCCTGCATTACTGTATATTTTATCAGAGTGGGCGATACAGATTCCCTCTTTTGCCGCCATGTCTTTGAATGCCTCCATACCGCTCTCGCCATAGTTACCTGGGGAGAGACATGGAATGTCTGGTGTTGGTATGTAATCAAAGATTACAAACAGGACACATTACGTGGCAGAACACCTAGACAAAACATGCTGCATATTTAAGATTTGTAGGCTCAGCCATCCAGGTAGAAAACAACAAAAACGGTAGAATCTTGTCATCTGGACCTGTTTCTTTAAGTGAAGAAAGGTTTCGTCCCGCAGAGGACTTCGTCAGTCTGCAGCCTGCAAACCAGATCTGTCCCATAAGTAGCCTTCATTGATGTGTTTCAAGCCAACCTCCTGTTGGAATCTCAGAGGCAGACTTTTTTAAACACAAATGTTTTAGGCCAGGTGACCACCTTGCTACTACCAGAAACAGCCTGTGGACAACCAAGACCAAAGTGGTTCCAAAAAAGTCTACCTAGTAGAGGTTGAATGGACTAGTCAACTAATCAATTCTAGGACATCTCACAATTCTTAAAATATTTCACGTCGACTAGTCACCCCCCACCCCCATTCCCAGCCCTATTCCACCCGATCCATGTGGTGGATTACATAAAATTAAACTAAAAACATCAGGGCGGTAGAGCTGTCATTTCTAACACGGCCACGCCCAACCCAAAATAATGTGCTGGAAGGGTTGGTGTCGGGCTTTTGATTAGCAGCAGACGCGCGTGGATGACGATCCAATCTGGATCACCACCAGCTGCGCTGACTGGCCGGTTAAAAGACGTACAAAAATGTCCAGATGGATCACTGCCAGCCACACCTGAAGCTTTCCAGCCACTGCTTCAGCGGACACGCGCGGACGTTTAAAAGAGGGACAGAAAAGAGCTAAAAGTCCAGATGGATGCCAGCGACCCAGCTAGCTGAAGCTTTCCAGCCGCTGTGTCAGAGTACGTGCATGGCCAAGCTCGGCCATTTAAAAGAGGGACAGAGCTGTTCACCCAGCTACAGAAAAGTCCAGATGGATCACTGCCAAGGACCCACCTGTGGCTTAATTGGACCCAGCTGCTGTGTCAGCGGACGCGCGCAAACGACAACCATTATTAACTAAAATAACTATAATATTATTATAAGGTGCTCCACCACTGCCCACCCTGCTGCCCTCAGTTCCATTCCACCCAATCCACGGTGGTGGATTAAATAAAACAAGGATAAAAACAGCGCACCCTGCTGTTCATATCCTTGTTTTTTTACGTGCCACACGTTTCTTTCACTTTTGTAGCTTAATAATAGTTTTGGTTTTCCTGCGACTTATTTACAGTATGATAAATGGTAGGAGCATAAATATACGCCCATTGTTTTGTTCTTTTTTGTGTAGGTGTAAATAATAAATTATGTTTTTTTGCCTTTTTTTTCCCGAATATGATATAGCGTCTCAAGTTCCTATGGCGTCATCGACTAGTCGACATTGACTCAACTTATATCAAAGTTGACATTATAAAATATGAAGTCATTTAACCCTTACAGGACAGATCTGGTTGGCAGGTCACAGACTGACAAAGTCCTCTGGATGGGGGATGAAACGTTTCCCACTTAAAGAAACTGGTCCAGATGACATGATTTAACCATTTTTATTGTTTCTACCTGGATGATTGATCTTACAAACCTTTTTCTGAACCACTTTGGCCTTGGTTGTTCTCAGGATGTTTCTGTGAGTAACAAGTTGTCCACCTGACATAAAACATTTGATTGTTGTTAATGAAGACTGATTGTTTTGGATGGGTGTGGCCTGTTTGTATGTGTTAAAAAAGTCTGCCTCTGAGATTCCAACAGGAGGTTGGCTTGAAACACAGCAGTGTAGGCTACCTATGGGACAGATCTGGTTGGCAAGCTGCAGACTGATGAAGTCCTCTGGATGGGGATGAAACGTTTCTCACTTAAAGAAAGAGGTCCAGATGATACGATGTAGCCATTTTTGTTACTGCATATTTGGTTTTAGAAATAGAAACCTATCACTTTCTTCTCTGTGTTTTTTAATGACCTTGATATTCTGAGCAGTCATTCAGTAATGTGCTTTATGTGATCACTTCTCATGCACATGCATCAACAGGTGGGAACAAAGTCCTAAATTATAGTGCAATGCCAGCCCAGTGCTTTGAAATCTGATACTTTTGGTCCCGTCATGAGATCTTTTTGGATAAAAACTTTCTTGTTATTCCTTAAAATTATGTCCCATCCAAAATTGCTATTATTTACTGGGTCAGAATATTTGTTGATAACTTATGACTCTCCCCTGCGGTTCTGCAGACACACACATTTAACAAATATTTGGTTGCAATATTATGTAGATGAACAACATGTGCCATATAGGTCTAACTAATCACAATTATCCAGATTGCAGATAAATCAAATATTCCTGTTTTTAAACCAATTTTTGTTTGCCCGTAGGTCTCGTCTTCATTTTTGTGTCTTTGTTTACTTTGATTAGGACACTGAAGCATCAAAATGTTTTTATTTGTACAAATAAAGGCTCCAAAATAGTCTGAACTCCAGCTCTGCTTTTTACCTTGAGCATGTGTTACTCTTCACTTGAAAGACACACAATTTAGCTATATTTTAATAAAATATGTGCAATGTGTATAGTTCAATTTGGAGTAGCTTGCGAACTGATAACATATAGAAATTAAATTTAATACACATGTAAGCACAGTCTTACCCTCAGTGTGTATCGCAGACACATAGCTCCAGTTGTACCTCTTCACAATGTCCACCATGGCTCTGGCCTGCTGCATATCTGACGGCACCACCCTCATGAAATACTTATACAGGCTCTGTTGGAAAAGATGTTTACAAATCTCATAAGTCTGCTTTATTTGCTAGTTTGCATGATCATCCACCATAAACCATTCTCCATAACTTGGCATGGCAAGTAAAATTCAATTCTGTTCAATCACACTTATTGTCCATAACATTTCATGAAATGGAGACTTGTCATTGTCATCTGGCTCATAAATACGACACAAAACAAATTAAAAATGCAATAAATAAAAACTTTAAAAAAGCATTGCAGAAACAATTATATTAAAAAACCCAATAAAATACAAAGTATATGGTACATACAAAAAACACAAGAACTTTTCAGCAGGAAATTGTTATTTTGAAATGTGAGGCTACGTTTAGAGAACCCTTTTTATGGTTACAGTGGTGAAAGCATAACTTTTTGTACCCATTCTTTATTGTTAGGGGGACCATCAGTCTCCTGACAAATGGCAGCAACTTAAATAGTGGTTGCAGTGGATGAGTTGGGTCATTATAAACGTGGATTGCCTTTTTTTTTTTTTTTTTTTCCAGAACCCGATTATACAGGTCTGTGAGTTGCAATAGTTGGTGACCAATTAATCTACTACCTTATGTGACCACCCAGGACAACTTATTCTTGTCTCTGTCTAGGAAGTTCCCATACCATGAGACCATATTAAAGGATATGACACTTTCAACCAGTGACCTGCACACCAGCTGCAGAGGGGTTTGCTTGCATTAGAACTCTAGAACTCATTAGCTCATGTAGAACATGAAGATGCTGCCTGACTTTTGTTTTTATTTATTTCATTCAAATTCAACAGAAATATTTGATGATTCTGATTTCCCCTGTTGTTTACCTTGTCACTGAGATCCATGCTAGTGGCTGAGTAAGCAATCTGTGGGATGTTGAAGAGCTGCAGGAGGTTTTGCACTTGGATGGCAACAGAGCTGGAGCCTGGTCCTATCAGTCCCACGATGGGCTTCTTACCCTGCAGAAGCATGCTCCCTGCTTCTGCAGCACATCTGGCCTGGCTCTCTTCCTCGTCGCTGGACACCAGCGTGTCCCGAATGAACTCAATGCTCTGCTCCAAGGCCACTGCAGAGTGCCAGCAGGAGTCCCTGGAGTAGAAAGAATAAGATCAATGTCACATTGTTTTGGTAAGAAAACAAAATAGGTGGCATTCATTTTAGAATTATTGCTGCCCACCACGGAGCAAAAAGGGGACTTGGAAATACCCTCCATCGATTTGTCTGTCCGTTAGTCCATCTTATGGGCTAGATAACTTAGAAAGAAGTGAGGTACCAAGTTTCACTTTGGTGTGTGGCTGGATCTAAGTATAAGACAGGGTCCTAAGGAATACTGGGTTGCAAGATCAAAATCAATTATGACTGCTGTCATGCGCACACACACGCACTCACGCACTCACTCACGCACTCACTCACACACTCACTCACGCACGTATATATAGAGAGAGAATCTATGAAAGAGTGACAGGTCACTCTTCCACATATCCTCTCTCTCTTTCTCTCTCCATATGTGAGTGTGTGAGTGAGTGCGTGAGTGAGTGCGTGAG